TATCTGTAGGTGAGAAACAAAACCCAAATTTTGATATGTTCAGATGTTGTTTGAATCCCCTGTGAAAAAAGAAGTTCACTTTATAGCACAATAAAAAATAAAAAAAAAAGAGTACTAATTACCGAAATAATATTCTTTTGTCTTTGAAATATGGTTAAGTATACTTCTGAATGTACTAACAAGCATTTATGGTAAACTAAAAAATACTTTAATGTAACTTCTTAAAACTTATATGTCACGTATTTAAATATATTTGTAATTACACATTTGTAACAATTAAGTTGAAATTTAGTACATTTAAAATATATTAACTTTGAATGTTACATCAAATAACACCGCAGTTGCAATTCATTTACATGTGTGTTAGTATGTTAGTCAACACATCAATATAATCACAAAAAGATTATTAAAACAGTGATTTAAAATATACTTTTAAACTTTTAGTTTGGCATTACAAAATGCACAAAATGTTAAAATCGTCTCTATATAAGTACATTTAAATAGGCTTTTTTTTAAAATTAATATTACATTATCTGCAAGTACAGCTTTTGAAAAATGTACCTTAATGTTTGAATTACACTAGAGGTGCACATTTAATACAATACTTTTACTGAGAAGGATAGCTTACATAACATTTTCATTTATCATTAGGTCAGCATGGAAGATATTTCCGGTTATATTGTTGTATAATACAAAGCAATGTGGGATCTGTTTTGCATTCTGTTTCCAAAGCTACTGTTTTCTGTCGTGCCCACACACTGTGCACATGAACATTACAACATTAAGAGGACTCTCAGATCAGGCACTTGAGTGGTGAATCATAATGCCAGATGCTTCTCAAGATAAGAGTACAAGCACAGCAAAAAAACAAAGCAAATCTTGTGATTGTATTTTCACTTGTATTTTATATTTTCACTGTTGTTTCTATACTCCTTAGGTAATGACCTGTTCCTTGTGGCGGTCCATGAGCTTGGTCATGCTTTGGGACTGGAGCATTCTAATGACCCTACGGCTATAATGGCTCCATTCTATCAGTATATGGACACCGAGAGCTTCAAACTGCCTCATGATGATCTACAGGGCATCCAGAAAATATATGGTGCGTTTAAACCTCTGGTCCCATAATCTACTGGCGTGGCCATATCTGTTTACAGTAACACTGATCAAACTTACGGTTAAGGATTTGAATAAAATGGACAACAATAAGGCTAAGCCATATCATATTGACCAGGTTATTATAGAAACATGGTTGTGAACTTATTTGACTTATTTTGCCATGTGAGCAACTGCATTTCAACCAGAACTACCTCACAACACCACAGCAAACCCCTAGGACACTCTAACAACTGCATAGCAACACACTAAAAATGTATAATTCGTATTATTATTTTTTAAATGTACTTGATTTAATTTGTAACTAAACTTTTAACGATTTCATGTGTAAGAAAATGTACACAAATGTATTCTTGAAATAATTTACAAAAATGTTTAATACGGGGTAATGGTGTTCTGTTTTTATTCAAAACACACACAAAAAATGCAATTTATTATTTTTGTCTTTTTTTTTAAGGAAATTCTTGAAAAGGCATAATCTCTTATTATTTTTCTTTGGGAAAAGAAATAACAAAAGTGATGCGCTGCTTGATAGTACTTGAAATAATTGCCAAAACACATTCAACATGGCAAATAAATTAAATGAATGAATGAATGAATGAATACCCCTGCAGACCCTCATGACTGTGTCAAGATCAAAAAGCTTCTTAAAATATCTTAAATGTTTACCTTTTATGACAAGAAAAGGTACCTGACTTTTATGGTCATTTAATTAATAATAATTTTATTATAATAATAACTAATAATTTTTATATTTATAAATTAATAATTTATAATATTTGTAAAAAAGTAAACGTTTTACCTTACATATTGGTAACATTTTACAATAATGTATAATGTATAATAATAAAACATAATTTAACATGAACTAACAATGAAAATACTTCTAAAGCATTTTTTTATCTTAATGTTAATTTCAACATTTACTAATACATTATTAAAATCAAATGTTATATCTGTTAAGTTATATCTGGCATTTAACCTGAACTGAACTAACAATAAACCAATGAACCACTCGCATACATTGAAGAAGTGAGGAAAATATGTTATTACTTTTATCTCATGACATTTTTAGAGTCAGTACATTTCTTGAAAATGGAATACAAGTTTTACACAACCACATGAAATACAAAGTATACATTCATTTATTTGAACTTGGCACATGTGATTTCAAATACATCTTAAAAGATGTTTTCTTTATTTGACACTCTTTTTAAATTATTTGAATTTTGTATTCATTCTGCAGGTCCTCCAGACAAAAATCCTCAGCCTACAAGATTGCTTACGACCGCTACGCCTCCTCGCCTGCACCTACCAACTGACCCTCGAAAGCATGACCGACAGGGTCGCCCTCATCGCCCTCCGCAGAAGTCAAAACCAGCCCACCCCAACTCCAAACCCAACATCTGTGACGGAGGTTTCAACACTTTGGCAATCCTACGACAGGAGCTGTTTGTCTTCAAGGTATGAATAATGAAAAGCTTCACTGAGAATTAGAGAAGCATAAATTGTGTGTTTCCTAACACCAGTACGCTCTTATTAGGATCAGTGGTTCTGGAGGGTGCGAGATAACTCTGTGGTGCCTGGATATCCGATGCAAATTAGCTTCTTCTGGAGAGGTCTGCCTCCCAAGATCGATGCTGTCTACGAAAACAGCGAGGGGAAGTTTGTCTTCTTTAAAGGTAAGATGTTTTTTCCTCCAACTTTTAAATCTTGCAGGCTAAATATAGACGTGAATATGTGAAGGAAAGAGCTCAGCTTTCAGGATCTACTAAGGGCATTTTCACACCTGGTTTGTTTGGAGTTAGTTTCAGAACCTGCATGTTTTCTCCCTTAGTTCAGTTCATTTAGGCATATATGAATACAGTAATTGCCCTCAGATCCACACCAAAATAACTGATTGAACACAAACTCTGGAGCAATTTGGATGTGTTGAGAAAGCATTCTGACCCAGTGGACCAATGAACCAAGCTGTATTATCATTCATAATGGGAAATTTGTTACGTAAAAAGCAGCAGTGTCTGATTCTGTGGGTGAGCACATTAGTTAACATAGTTCATCTTAAACTGTTGTGAACTTGATGTGAATCTGGCCATCATGAATGATGGCTACATTGACAATAAGCCTGTGGAGCCAACTTCTCGATGAATGATGCTATGAGGGACATAACCCGGTGTAGATGACAGTTTTACTCACATGTGACTGGCAAAAAAAAACAAAAAAACATTTTGGCATACTTTCAAATGCTGCCTTGTAAAAGTGAACCGAATCAAGAAGCAAACAATCTACAGGTGTGAAAACAGCCATAATTATCTTTGGTTTTATTATTATTACAATCAATTATAAATAATAATACTATTATTATTACTAGAAGAAGAAGAACATGCATGCATTTTAAACACTAAAGGCAATCTTTTCCTTTTCTCGGCATTTCTGAAGGCAACCGGTTCTGGGTGTTTAAGGATACAACTCTACAGCCCACATATCCTCAGGACATTTCTCTTTTTGGCAATGGAATGCCCACACAGAGCATTGAAACAGCTGTTTGGTGGGAAGACGTGGCCAAAACCTACTTCTTCAAAGGGGACAGGTCAGTTTTATAGCTTCTAGCTACAGTGTACAATGGGACCCAGTGGACACCGCCTTCACTTGACTGTTCCATAATGTCTGAGACAGTTTTTTCTGTCTCTGTCTACTATTACAGATACTGGAGGTACAATGAGGATATGAGAACCATGGACCCTGGATATCCAAAACCTATTACTGTGTGGAAAGGCATCCCAGACTCTCCACAGGGAGCCTTTGTGGACAAAGAAAATGGTGAGACATTGAAATGATCCTATAGCTGACAATACAGCACCTTGCAAAAGACCCCAAACCAATTTGCTCATATTACAAATCTAATTTTGAAATATAGCCATTGAGTTTCACAGTACTGGAACTCACAATTAATTATTGCTATAATTGCATTTGTATTGGTGCCATGGTGGTTTGCATATATGCTCAGACACGTTGAGTTGTGACTTTTTATGTAGGTTTTATTATTATTACAACAAATGCAATATGCTTAGTCTATTAGTCTATTAACGTAAAATTGAAATAAAGGCCCAAAATTGTTATGCATATATATATTTTTTAAAATATCTATTTAAATGTTTTTAGTTTCAAAGTGAAATATTCTGTTTTTCATAACTACACAAGGACAAAAGTATTGGGACACATCTTTTAATTATTGATGTTCCATGGTCAACTGTAAGTGGTATTATTGGAAAGTGGAAGCATGTAGGAACAGCAACAACTCAGCTATGAAGCAGATGACCACGTAAAGGTCACCAAGTGCTCGGGTGCATGGTGCGTAAAAGTCACCAACACTATGCTGATTATAAACTTCCACTGGCATTAATATCAGCACAAACAAATGCATCAGCAGCTGCATGCAAGCTTCACTTCACCAAATACAATGCTAAACATTGTATGGAGTGGTGTAAAGCACACCACCACTGGACTCTGGAGCAGTGGAAACTTGCTCTGTAGAGTAACAAATCTCGCTTCTCTGTTTGATAGTCTGATGGGCGAGTCTGGGTTTGGAGAATGCCATGGGCCCGTTCTTCGTACGTCGCTAACTCAGTTAGCTGGATTTGATGTTGATGATTTGGCATGATCTTGGATTGTTTGGTTCTTCGAAGCTCATCCCGGAGTTGCTGTCATAGCAACAGGTCCGTAAGCTTAAACCTGCTTGGGAGCTGGCTTATTTAAAGGGGTCATCAGGATTAGATTGAATCTTTTTAAGCAGATACTTAAAATCTGTCCCAGCCACCGCTACTTTATTACAAGAGTATCCTACTGATCCAGGCACAATAATTTAAAATAATAATAATTAAAAAAATTATTAAAAAATAATATAATAATGTTGTGTATCTATAATACTATAGACACAGCCAGTTTTACTCACTGAACGATTTATTTGTCATAAAATAATTACTTCATAATTGTATTAGAGTCTTACACACATGCTATACAGATAATGTAGAGTCGTGCATTAATTTGAGTGGTGACAGATATTATGGGAGTGGCTTGATGGAGCGCAGAGATGCAGATAACATGATCTTGACCATAGATCTTGACCCTTAAGAAACTTTAATTAATGCTGTCACGTAACAAATCTGTTCAAATATAAAATTAAATGAATTGCTAATTACTACATTGAAATAAAAATGTAAAGCCTGTACAAATATTAGAAATCGTGAATATAAATAATTGGG